GGAGAATGTTGCTGCTGCTGGAGTGGGAGTGAACAGGCTATTAGGGGATCCATAAATTATGCTCTCAAATGATCTTATATTAGATATCTGAGGAGTGAAAAAGGGGTCCTGTGAAGCAGGATAGCTTAGATACAAATACAGAAGGGTTCTATTGAAAACTATTAATAGGAATGCCAATGATGCAAGAAATGATAAAAAAAATAATATTTTGATCCATGTCTTCCTCGATACTGAAAGATCTACATTTGAAGAGCACTCTACCTGTCTGATTAGAAATGGTTCCTTCTGGACAAAAGGCACATTGGTAGCAGCAAACCTGCTCATCCTCTTGAACTCTTCTCTCTCCTGCCTGGCACCTCTTCATGCCACACCTAGCAAAAGGGTTTGTCTAAAAGAGGGAAGATAAATATTTGAAATGACCTGAGCAGTGAACATGATTCATTTATTCATTTTTACATTCCTATTTCCTTCTTTAGAATGCCTTCAAAAGAAAAACATGACCATGGTCTACCAGAAACCATGGGGGATAGTGGCACTTCCAACCAACCAATGGATGCTGGAGATTGGAATTGGCTCCTTGGCTGCACCAATTTGCATAGACTCCTCTTCCCCCTTGATCAGCTTTGGTTGGTGTAAGGGGGATGACAACTGGATATGGCAATTGAGGAGTTGTAGCTTGTGGAACAAGCCTAGATCACTTCTAAATCTGAGTTTATTATATTGCAAGTTCTGTACATCTGATCCATTTGTTAAGTGGGTTTTGCCCCATTTTACAACCTTTCTTGCCATAGTTTTAAGTGAGTCATTGCAGTTGTTAAGTTAGAAACATGGTTGTTAAGTGAATCTGGCTTCCCCATTGACTTTGCTTGCAAAAGCTCATCACATGATGCCAGGACACTGCAACCATCATAAATATGAACAAGTTGCCAAACATCTGAATTTTGATCATTTGTCCATGTGCTCAACACTCATAAATATGAAAAATGGTCATAATTCATCCTGAATTAAATGGATTATCTCATCGGTGTCAAACTTGATCGTGTCACGTGACATATTGTGGTGTATCATGACCTTTTTTACCTTTGTGGAGCTGGGCTGGGTATGGCCTGCGTGTGAGGCATCTGGCCTGTGGGCCCACCAGTTCGACACCCTTGGATTATCTGGATCCTTTGGTCAGGACTCAGGCCTGATTATAGGATGGAAATGATATTGCTCACGGTTTCTCTATGGAGATTCTCAGTCATCCAGGTCATAGTTATCCCAAAGATGCTTTTTCACAAGGCAACTGGACTTTCTTGTTTTTCTTTGAAGACATTTCGCTTCTCATCTAAAAAGCTTCTTCAGCTCTGAATGGATGGTAGTGAATGGAAGGACAGTGAAGGGACAGAGGGCAGAAAACATACTGCAGTCAAAAAGGTTCCACAACCATTTGCACCACTTAGGTGACCTTGAGGACACAGATAAACCTCCAAGTGGCCTCAATGACTCCCTAAAAGAATGCAAATGACCAGCTGTCTGCAAGGAGTATAAATCCTTCCATTCCACACCATCGAATCAGAGCTGAAGAAGCTTCTTGGATGAGAAGCGAAAAATCTTCAAAGAATAACAAAGAAAATCCAGTTGCCTCATGAAAAAGCATCTTTGGGATTGTTCACAATTGTTGATGATCTTTGATGAGAGTGAGATGGGGATAATGAAACCATCCTTGGTCTCTTTGACCTTGCAGTGGCTTTTGATACTATCGACCTTAGGATCCTTTGGGGTCAGCTTCAGAGCTGATTTGGCTCCTTCCTCCAAGACTAGTCTCAATCAGTGTGAGAGGTCCAGCCCTCAGCAACTATCTTGTGGTAGACACAGGGCTCGGTATGCATTCCACTCCTTTTTTAATATCTATATGAATCTGCTGGGTGAGATCCTCCATCACCATGGGTTGAGGTATTACCAGTATGCTGATGATACTTCAACTCCATATCTCCATCCCTGATGACCCAAATGGTGCTGTTGTTTCCCTCTCACAGTGCCTGAAGACTGTGGAAGCCTGGATGGGGCACAACAGGTGAATTCTGGCAGGAATGAATGACTTTGGTACATGGAGCTCCAAGATCTCAGACTTGACATCTTTAGTTCTGGCTGCACCATCAAAGGTGACATCAGCCAGAGCATAAAACAATTCAAAGAAATAGAGTTAGACTTAGTTTAACAGAGTTGGAAGGGACCTGGTAGGTCATCTAGTCCAAATCTCTTTTTAAGCAGGAGACTGTATACCATTTCAGACAAGTGGCTGTCCAGTCTCTTCTTAAAAACCTCCAGTGATGGAGCACCCATAACGTCTGGAGGCAAGCTGTTCTACTGGTTAATTGTTCTCATGGTCAGAAAGTTTCTCCTTAATTCTGGGTTGTTTCTCTCCATGATTAGTTTCCATCCGTTGCTTCTCGTCCTGCCTTCAGGCGCTTTAGAAAATAGGTTGACCACCCTCTTCTATGCTGACCATACCCAACTCTATATTTTCACTTCTGGTGACCCAAGTGATGCCATTGCTACCTCTCACAATGCCTGGAGGCTTTGGGGGCCTGGATGGGGACAGCAGGCTTTGACTGAACCCTGGCAAGAGGCTCCAAGATCTGGGACTTTGTCATCTTTGACTCTGGATGGGGTGGCACTATCACATACAGATCCGGTCCATAACTTGGGGATTCTCCTGGACTCACAACTACTGCTCCAAGAGAAGGTGGCAATCA